TTTGGCTTAGCTTTGGGCGGGATCCCTTAGGTCAGGTGTTCTCCAACGGTCCTACCATCTGTGGCCAGACTGGACACTGATATGTGAGCAATTCCCTCAGAAGGAAGCTAATGGTGGTAGACATTGGGACTTAGTTTCCCTGTCTGTCTAGTGAAAGGCCTCATAAGAGCCCAAATGAGAGGATAGTGGCCAGAGGGAAGAAAGGCCAAGAGCCAGGGTTTATAGTTAGTCCATATAGTGCCCTTTGTATGACTTAGGAAAAAGTACCCCTCTGAGCAGAGGCAGCATGGTTAAGCACCCAGCTGGGCAGTGGATGGCGCCTTTGGGCTAACGAGGAAAATGTGACCCTTCTTCTGGGTGAATACAGCCCTGTCATATTAGGGTGCACAGTTTCGAAAGAGGACCACGTGCTGCATTTCAGCTTCTGCCTCTCCTGCTGGTCACAGGTCATTGAATAGTGCATAACCTGTTCCACCGTTCACAGGAGCCCAGCCAGAGCCCTGAGATCTCCTCTGGCAAAATATGATCAAGGGTTCGGGTGGGAGTTGGTGGTGAAGCGTAAAGCATAAGAAACTCCTTAGGAAATGGTGGCCATTCGGGACAGCTCAGTGCAGGATGCAGGACAGAAAAGTGAGAGGAAGAAAATGGCTTTTGAGGATGAATGTCCCCCAACAGCCGGAGAAGCACTGTTCCCTGCAGAAAGTTGGGGGCAGCGGGGACTGGAGCTGCCAGCCTCCTCCCGAAATGCTCAATTGCTTCTTCAAGGGTTCCCTCAAGGACACTTGGAGGTGGCCAGCTCCCTTGGCAGGAAGCAATTAGGACAGAGGAAGGAGGCTGACCTGGCCTCGGGGCAACCATAAACCTAAGGAGGTGACTCAGAAGCCTGAGAACCTGGGGCTGCTATTCCCAGCTGAGGCCACGCTGAGGGATGGGAAGTTCTGCCCCGTCTACCTTGGCCACACAGCTTCTGGGTTGCCTCCTCCCACGAACTACCCACTCAGGCTCCCACAATCTCTATCCCAGCAAAGTTAGTCCACCTCCTACTTTCAACCTTGCCCTCTGTCCCATCTAGCTGCCACTAAGAAACCAGAGTGATCTTCCTAAAGCACAAATCTGACCATGTCAGTTCTTCAAAGGCTCCCCTCACCCCTCTGTGTGACTTTCTCCTTAAATGTCCCTCCAGATCCTGCATGATCTGGCGCCAGCCAACCTCAAAAGGCTTTTCTTCCTCTCACTTTCCTGTCCCAAACCCTGCAATGAGCCATCCTGAATGGCCCCATTTTCTAAAGGGCCTCTTATGCTTTTGTGCTGTGCACAAGCCATTGCTTCTCCCTGGGCTACCCATTCCCATCTCAATTATCTCCCTCTCTATGAAGCCCTCCCAACCCTCAGACAATTGGCCCTTCACTGTACACAGTCCTTCACAGTCAACAAACACTTCCCGTGTGATCTGCTGTCGGCTCAAGCACACATTTAAGTCTCCTTTTTTTTTTTTTTTTTTTTCGAGATGGAGTTTCGCTCTTGTTACCCAGGCTGGAGTGCAATGGTGCGATCTCGGCTCACCGCAACCTCCGCCTCCTGGGTTCAGGCAATTCTCCTGCCTCAGCCTCTTGAGTAGCTGGGATTACAGGCACGCGCCACCATGCCCAGCTAATTTTTTGTATTTTTATAGTAGAGATGGGGTTTCACCATGTTGACCAGGATGGTCTCGATCTCTCGACCTCGTGATCCACCCGCCTTGCCCTCCCAAAGTGCTGGGATTACAGGCTTGAGCCACCGCGCCCGGCATTTTTTTTTTTTTTTTTTTTTAATGACAAGAAAAGAAAGGTCCAGAGAATGGTCAAGCTGCCACTTGAACTCGGGTCTCCTAACATCAAGGCTCCTACTTATTGTGCCTCCTCAGCCACGGGAGTGAATCCAAGTCAGAATGTGAAAAGAGAGTTAAAAAAAACCATGAGCTCTGAGCCTCAGAAGAGGAAGCGTCTTGCCTGACTGGGGAGAGGTGTGGAACAGGTAAAGAGCAAAGGGCAGCCCTGGCTTCATGGAGGAGGTGGTATCTGCCCGAGGTCTTACTAAACATTAGCCAGCAGGGCCAGACGTGCTGGAGCAGGGCTGTCCCAGAGAGCAGCCAGGTGTGGGGATCCTGGAGTCGTGCCCTAGGGGGTCTGTTCCCAGCTTATTGTCTGCCGTACTTGAAGGCAAAGTGCTGGCTGAAGTCCAAAAACCCTGAGCCTGGGAAGCCCTGCACCCTACCAGCTATTATCGAGTGACAGGCAAGCCGGAGAGGATGGCCGGAAGCCTGGAAGGGTGGCAAGGGTGGAAAGAACCGTTGAGGATCAAGTTCTCTAATCCTTCCAAAGAGGGATCTGGGGAAAGGTTTTGTTTTGTTTTGTTTTGTTTTTGAGATGGAGTCTCACTCTGTTGCCCAGGCTGGAGTGCAGTGGCATCATCTCAGATCACTGCAACCTCTGCCTCCTGTGTTCAAGTGATTCCCCTGCCTCAGCCTCCTGAGTAGCTGGGATTACAGGCACACACCACCACGCCCAGCTATTTTTGTATTTTTAGTAGAGACGGGGTTTCACCATGTTGGTCAAGCTAGTCTTGAACTCCTGACCTCGTGATCTGCCAGCCTCAGCCTCCCAAAGTGCATAGATTACAGGCATAAGCCACCACACCCAGCCTGGGAAAAGTTCTTAAAGAGACTGAACCAGGAATCTGGGCAGGATTCTTTGATGGCAAGGAACAGGGTCTACTTATGGCAGGTTGAGTAATGGGGAATGGATTAGCTGGGACTTTTGGTTGCAAGTGAACAAAATCCGACTCACACAAGCTTAAGCAAAACGGGAGGTGTATTGGCTCATGTAATTGGGAAGTTCAGGCATGGCTGGGTCCAGAGACTCAGTTGCATCTTCTCTCCCTCCCTCCTTCTACTTCTCTCTCTGTGGCACCATTGTCCTTCCAGATGTGCTTCTTCCATGTTCTTTCACCAGCCAGGTGGGTTCCCAGCTCACACTGCCCCGAATTAACAACCTCAGAGAAAAAGAGCCAAATCTCCCGGCATCCCTAAGTAAGAGTGAAGAGTGTCTTAGCTGCGGTCAATGCTCTGCAGTTGGTCAGATCTCAGTCACATCCCTACTTCTTGACCAGAGAACCAGGGAGGCTGGGCTTTTTATTAGAAAGAGAGGCTGGGAAAAGTGGTTAATCAAGCAAAACCACGGGCCACCAACTTTCCTTTTGGGGGCATTTGTTGAAACAATGTGGAGAATCTCATGAAAGTGTAGAGATGGGCACCATAGCCAGTCCTTAGCTAGAACTTGGGAAGCTGTCAGGACCAGAGGTGGCTCCCTCTCAGGGCAGCATGGTTTCTTTCATGTGCTGCTCTCTGCACATCCTTTCCCATCTTGATCTGCTCCTCAGTCATTCTGCTCACAGAGTTTCCACGTGCTCTGAGCTTTACATTGCATATAACTGCAGTCTACTGAGGTTCACCCAAGTCTCTAGGGAGCCAATTGTATTTCATAGCATCCTCAGCTTCTTTTCCAATGGTTGACTGCCCAGCCCGTTTCCCAATTCCGAATTCCTAAGAAAGAGAAATCTGATGGGCCCAGGTTATCTTTTCAAGCCAATCACACAGATTAAAGGCTGCTGGACAGCATGGGGGTGGCTCACCTTTGTGTCAAGTGCTCACCACCATCCAAGTAACTACTCTATACACTCGTCCTGAGTGACCTCATCCTTCCCCTCCATGAGGCACCTGAGAATAATTGACCCCATTCCTAGAGTTTCAATTATTTATTGCAGTGTAACAAGCTGCTCCAAAACATAGTGCCTGAAATAAAATTTATTATTTTTGATGATTCTGTGAGTTGTCTGGGCTCAGCTGGAAGGTTTTACTGCTTCATGTTGTGTCGGCTGTTGTTACCTACACAGCTGAACTCCACTGGGAACTGGGCTAGGGCTGGAACAGCCCGGATGGCCTCATGCACATGTCTGTCAATTGTACTTATAGTCACCTGGGCTGTCACTGGCTTCTTACCCTCCAGATCCTCTCTGTCTCACCATGTGGTCTTTCCAGCAGGTTACTCCAGATTTCTTTACATAGTAGCCAGCTCCCAAGAGGGCAAAATGGAATCTGCAAGGCCTCTTAAGACTTAAGCTTGGAAACCACACAGCCCCACTTCTACTCCGTTCAGTTGGTCAAAGCAAGTCACAAGGCCAGCTCAGAGTAGACGCCGTCTCTGGACCGGAGGAGTGTCAAAGTCACATTGCCAAAAGACAGGCAGGATGGAAGAGGTTTTTGGGCCATCTCTGGAGACAATCTACTGAGCCTGGAAGTAAGTCTAAACATGTTTGCCCCTAATCCTAACACTTTATTCTGATTTCCCCCTTCCTCCCTCTCCAGGTTGGGTTGGTTCCTCCCAGGACCTGGTGGAGGCTGGGGGAATCACTCCATTCTGTAGCCCCCCCACCTCCCCAGTCAGAGGCCTTCCTAGCTAAGCTGGTGTTTCTCCTGCTTCTCCCACCCACCCATGCACACCTCTGAGAGAGGCTACTTGTCTGCTTCCTGGCCTGTGCCTTGGAATGGGTGACATTCGTATCTGCACCCTGGGACCAGTACAGGGCTCTTCATCAAGAGGGACAGACGCCCTGGAATTCCAGAATGATAGTTCCAAGGCCCCTCTTCTGCCCTCGCTCTATCCAGCCCCTTCATGGCCAATAACTAATGACGCCAAGCTGGGCAGGTGGGGGCCTGGGAATGTGCGCCCCCTGCTGACCACCAAGGGGACCAGCAAGAATTCGGGTTCAGAGTCCCAGGGAGTCTCTGGCCTGTGACCCCCACCCAGGCCAAGGGGAGCCTGGTCTCGACATGGACTTCAAGGACCCCCTCCTAGGTGGTGCGGAGGAGCTGTCCGTCTGGGCCCTCCACTGCGCTCCCGCTGGGAGAAGGCTTCTGCTGGTGGCCGGTGCTATCCATGCCTCACCTCCTGCCTGTCTGCGGGATGGACTGGCTTCGGAGGGAAGACGACATCGTCAGGATCCTGGGTCCAGGCTCCTAAAGGAAAGACGGGCGGCTAGCTTTTGAAGGGGGAGGCGGCTAGCTTTTCATTTTCTCCTTTGGCGGGGAGAAAATTGTCAGGCCTCTCCTGTCTCTGCGCCCTTCAGAGCCTGCGAAGAACATCATTTTCGCAATCCCAAATCCGCTGCAGCCCACAAACCCAGAGAGCCAGAGAGGTGCCTCACTCACTACCCAACCGGCTTCGGGCATGGGTCGGTCGAGAAAGGAGAGCCCAGCTATCCCTCATACCGTACAGTAGCAGCCTCGGCGGCAGCGATACACCGGCGACCAAGAGGGCGAGTGTGACACCCCCCGCCCCCCGCCGGCGGGCGGGGAGCCCAGCTCATACGCACAGCCTCCCCGCCGCTGCCCGTCCCCTTCCCTCGCCGGGACTCGCCTCCCTCCTGCAGCCCAGCCCAGCCAGCTTCGCGTCTACGCCGCTGCCTGCTCTGGCCGGGCCGGGTCAGAGCCCGAGCATGGAACCTGGGGAACCCCGGGAGCCCCAGGAGCCCCGCGAGCCCGGGCCAGGAGCAGAGACCGCTGCGGCCCCGCTCTGGGAGGAAGCCAAGACTTTCTACGACAACCTCGCACCCAAGAAGAAACCCAAATCGGTAAAAGCAAGGCACGGGTTTGCGGGGGGTGGGGAAGGGTTACTACGAGAGAGGGGTCACAAGTCTCTTGGGAAGAGACCCGTGGCGCCCCTCTGGGAGGGGACGCAGCTCCTCAGCCCCAGAAAGCGCCCTGCAGCTGGCGCGGGCTCGGGTTTATTTTGGGAGCTCTGCTCTGGTGTATTTTTTCCTGGGACTCGGGTTCCACGCCAGGATCCCCCTCCCCCATGCTGTCATCAGGGCCCAGGTCGAGGCCCGCAGCCCCAGCCCCTCCCCACGCGGGCACCCGGGGAGCGCGGATTGCACTTGTTGGCCAAGCCGGTCGTCAGCGCCTGCAGAAGCGCCCCGGACGCGGGTAACCAGACTCGGGAACCCTGTTCCTGGCTGTGCGCTCCAGTCTCCGCCATCTGGGCATCGGGCTCCGGACCTTAGGCTCTGCGTTTAAGGTCTGGCTCTGGGCCCTGGGCCCTGGGCCCTGGGCTAGGGGGCACTTCGCTCCCGGGGTCCTAAGGAAAGGGAGCTGCTCTCACCAGGCACTGGGATCCTCACTCTGCGCTGGGGGGATCTCGGGGAGATCGGTGCCCTTGGCTGCAGGCTTCCAGCGCTGGACTCTGCCCTCCAGCTCCGGTTCTGCTCCCCTCGCAGTGGGCGTTAATATCTCCAGGACCCCGTGGTGGTGTCAGCCGTCTGGGACCTCACAAGAGGAGCCCTCTCCTATCCCCCACCAAACAAGTTGATGATGCCCTGGTCTGCCCCTGGGCCTTGCTCTCCCCAGCTTCCCAGATCTCAGCGCTTGAGGAGGGGACTGAGGATAGAGGTTGGCCCAGAGCCGTCCTCTGAAGAGCTCCAGCTTGATCTTAAAGCAACCTGCTGCTTCCCTCCAAGGACCCCTCCCCAAGAGGTCCACCCTATCAGCAAACCTTCACTTAGGACCTCCAGGCTCCACTCAACAGTGGGGATTGAGGAATTAACTAAGCTGAGTCCCTGCCTCAGGAGCTCACCACACACTGATGGGGGCTCTGGAGATGAGAGTCTTGGGGAGTTGTCGGGGGAGTGGGATAGTACCGTCACACTGGGGAAAGCTTCCTAGAAGTGGTATGTATGCTGATCTTAAAGCCTGAGTATGTGGAGTTTTTCGAGAGAAGAAAACAGGACAGGCAAAAGTCATGCAGACGTCTCTGAAGCTCAGGACTGTGTTCCTGAGTAAGTACTGAGTGGAGAATGCAGGATTGCTGGGAGAAGCGCAGGAGGGATGTGACAGAGCCCAGAGGGCCTTGGGGATCTTGTTAAGAAGTCTGGACCTTATTCAATGGGGTCAGGGATTTCCAAAGTAGCTGCCCCAAGTCCCTTATTTCATGGAGTCCGCACACATGTAAATCCAGTGTATTTTCTTTCTTCTTCAAACTAAGTTTCATGCCATTTAAAATGTGCAATAAAATCCAATTCACGCTAATGTATTAGGTGGATATTTTAGCAGCTTCAAGGCCACTAGTTTGTGTTGCAGATTTTTTTTTAAAGCAAACCTCAGAATAAGGCTTTCCCTGTGATCTGTTTCATAGACGAGCATCTTGAGATTGTGAAGCCTGAAGTTTAAAACGAAACAAAACAAAAAAACCTTTTAGCATTTGCAACTACTTATTGGTCTGAATCAGGACCTTCTCAATACTTCGCAAATACAAACACAGCAACAACTTGGCTGGACGCTGAAGCTTAACTCTGCTCAGGCATCCTAACCTCTAGTTTCAAATTTGATGTCATGCAAACAACTGTGTTGTTTTCGTCGTTTGACTTTATAGTAAATAAATAAACATAATGCATTTGAATCTGTAAAATAAATATACACCAATTATATATGGTGTATCTGGTACCCTATGGTATGAGATATATGGTAATTATATATGGCAATATCTGGCTTACATATTGAATTCAAAGTTCATTTGAATTCATTTAAATAAAAGGTCAACCTACATTTTAAAAACCTATGAATACCATTATGGAGCTATTCCAGGATTTTTCATCAGGGGATTGACTGGGTCCCATTTTTATTTTAGAAAGATCACTCTGGGATGGATTGGAAAGGGTGAGTCTGGCAGCAAGCCCACCGGTAAGAAGGCTGGTGCCTGTCTGAAAAGGAAGTTGGATGAGTGTCAACGTTGTGGCCTGAGTTACGGAGAGGAAGGGACAGAGATTGGGGACTGGGGTAGTGAATGCATCAGGGCTCAAAATCCACTTCCTCCCCAAGCACCAAGGAACAAGGGAGCTCAGGCTCAGTGGTCAGTCATGACCCCTGGGTCAGCCCCTGACTCTCACGATTCTCTGGGAGGCAAGAAGTCCGGAGGCTTCGCAGCTCCTCTTCCCTCCTGCAGAAGCCCCTCTTCCTACAGGCTATTTTGGGGACTTCAGGCCTCATGGGCTCCATTGTGGCCTGGGCTGGACTTATTCTCATTCCCAGGGGCCTGAGTAAAATACTGAATGCCCGACGGCCTGTTGGAAGCCCTCACCTCTTGGGGTCAGAACACTTCTTTAACCCAGAGCTCTCCTGTCCCTCGCTCCTTCAGCAGCCCTTCCCTCTCTAAGTCCTACTAGAAATAACAGCTTTTTGCCTATGTTTCTATCTTGAGCAGAATTACTTTGGCCTAAATGGGAGCTCCTCAGGCAGGCCAGGTCGGGGTGGGCTGCCCTGTTATTCTTTCATTCCCATCCCACAGCTGGAGCCCTCAGCCTGACCCTGGAAGGCAGAGAGAGTTGCCAGGACCCTGGTTTCCTGGAGCCCAGAGCTCCCAGACTGAGCCTCGGAGTCGCTCTGACCCAATTCACAGTCTGAGATCAGGGCTTCTTTCTGCTCTCTGGAGGAACTGTTCCTCGATGCCCCTGCCAACACATGGCCACCTCTGCGGCCGGGCCCGGGAGGGTCTCTACATGCACAGCTTCTCCCCAGCTCTGGCCAGCCCTTTTCAACTGCTCCTTCAGCTCCACCTGGAGCCTGGACAGGTCATTCATCAATCCCAGCTGGGATCCATATTTCTTACACAGTCACAGCCTCTGGGCCCTTAAACTCCACCTCGTTTGCACTGTGTCACAGCAGTCTAAGTGGGGACACAGAGTCCTGCCCTTTCGACCTCCATTCTGATGGGAAACAGAGACCTGTCCTTAGAAACCTCAATTTGAGGGCATGCCTTGATCATTTCTCCCAAATCTGGAAAGTGAAGGCTTTCCAGATGGGGGAGATGTTTCCAGGGAAGGCGGAAGTAGCAAGGGATGGAGTCTTCTGGGAGCTGTTGAGGAGGATAATAGCAAGGGGACTGCAGTGTGGAGAGAGGCCAGGCTAGACGCCAGAGACTTGAGACCTCATCTTGCTCTGCCGTGACCTAGAGTAATACTCTGCCCCTCTCTGGGCCTGTTTCCCTATCTGGAAAAGTGAGAAGCAGAGGACTCGTGGGACCAAGGCCACCAAGATGTTTTTCTTGCAGCAGCAGGGGTGGGATGGGATGGGGTCTGTCTGGGTAGCTCAGGCAAAGGGGGCCCAGGACTTGACAGCCTGGCAGGGACTGTGGGACAAAAAAGAGTGAGGCCTTGGCTGGCTGCCCGGCCTGGAGGAGCAGGCTTGGGAACCTGTCTGGAGGGGCTGGGAGGGAAGCTGGCTCTCTGTCCTTGAAAGGGCGATGGCCTTTTCCTGGGGCGGTAAGCCCAGGGGGTGGGGCAAGCTTAGCTCCTGTTCTGAAAACCTCCAGGCTTCCAGGGTTTATGAGTGGGTCTCCCCGTTCCACCACCAACCCCACCCTTAGGACGCACAGACACACGGTGGTGGTCAGCAACTGAGAAAGGTGTTTGGGTTGAACCTCCAAGAAAAAGCACCTGTCCTGCCACTGCCTTATACCGACCTTGCTGGCCACATACACCATCTTGGTTGGCGTTAAAAGTCAAATGCAAACTGAGGTCTAACACAGGATCTTAGGGAACTCCTTTGCCTTCCACCCCCATTTTGAGGTTCTAAAGCTGCATTACCCGCTAGCCATATATAGCTATTTAAGTTCATTTACATTAAATAAAATCTAAAATTCAGTTCCTCAGTCTCATTAGTCACATTTCAGATTGTTCCAGAGCCACATGGACAGCACAGATTATGGAATATTTCCGTTATCATAGAACTTTCCGTCGGACAGCGCTCTTCTAAAAGATGGTGTCAGCCTCTGTCTTGGGGGTGGATCATGAGCTCCATGGGGACAAAGATGATGCCTGTATTGTTTCCTGCCATGTCCATCACATAGCGTCTCTCAGATGTAACCACTCAATGTTGTCAACTGATTGGAACCCATGACTCACCCCAGAAAGAAGCAGTGGGGTTGAGTACATGACCCACAGGCAATCAGGAGAGGCCAGAATATGAGGTGCATTTATGAGCCTTGACCTCAATTTCAGTCCCTCATTTTTAATTTGTCAAGTGAGAATCATGACCCCAGGACTCCTCAGGACACAGAGATGGTGGGATTCTCTGCATGTCTGTAAGTCCCTTGGGCACTCATGTACTGATCCTCCCCAGGGACTATAAAGGGGCCAGCTGCTGTCTGGGGTGCCATGCTCCACTCCCCCATTCTACTGGAAGTGAGTGTTAGAGTCCGTTTGGGATACTATAAAAAAGTACCATGGACTGAGTGACTTATCAACAACAGATATTTATTTCCCATATAAGTTTCTGGAAGCTGGAAGTTCAAGATCAAGGTGCTGGCAGATTTGATGTCTGATGAGGATCAGGTTTCTTGTCCATAGATGGCCATTTCTAGCTGTGTCCTCACATAATAAAAGGGGCAAGGGAGCTCTCTGGGGGCCCTTTTATCATGAAGGCTTCACCCTCATAAACTAATCACCTCCAAATGCCTCTGCTTCTTAATACTATCACCTTAGGGGTTTGGTTTCAGCATATGAGTTTGGGGGTGATGCATATATTTAAACCATAGCAGTAGGGAAGAAGTACTGGGGCCCTCTGGGACCCCTAGAGAAGGCCCTCTGTAAGTTCACATCTGCTTATTCTTCTGGGCTCATACCCACCCCCACATGCCTGTCCTCTGCCCACCTTTGTGAATGCCTTGTGTGTGTGCAAACCTCATCATGCCTTCCTTAACCCTGCTCTTCCTTTTTTAAATTTTTTTTGAGATGGGGTTTTACCATGTTGGTCAGGCTGGTCTCAAACTCCTGACCTTGTGATCTGCCCACCTCGGCCTCCTGAAGTGCTGGGATTACAGGTGTGAGCCAGCACGCCCAGCCCCCCTGAACTCCCTTTAAGGCTTTGCTCACAAGGTCTCCTCTCTATGACAACTTCCTCTGAACCCCTGTCATCAATACTTTGCTTTTGCCTCTGTTCTCTAGCTCATGTCCATTTCCTGTGGTTATAAGAGAATGCCACAGACTGGTTAATTGATAAAGAACAGGGTTTTTGCATCATAGTTCTGCAGCTGGGAAGTCCAAGAGCATGGCACCAGGTTCTGGCAAAAATCTTCCCATGGCAGAGAGCATCACATGGTGAGGAAGCACATGTGAGAGAAACAGAGAGAGAATGGAGGTCAAACTTACCCTTTCATCAGGAGCCCACTCCCTCAGTAACTGACCCGTTCCCATGATCATGGCATTAATCCATTCATGAGACGAGAGCCCTTGTGATCTAATCACCTCTTCTTAACGGTCCCACCTCTCAACACTGCTGCCTTATGTCTTAAATTTCCAACACATGAACTGTGGGGGACATATTCAAACCACAGCAACTCATTTCCTTCCCTTTTGCATCTGAGTTCCCTGTTTACTTATCTTTCTTCCCTACCAGCCTGTGAGTTTTGAGGACAGGAACCAGGTGCTTGCCAGGACCACTGGGCAGAGCTCAGGCGCCTGGCATGAGAATCAGTGAATATTGGACAAATTTGCTTCAACCAAAACAAATATTCTCTGAGCACCTTCTATATATCAAGATATCTGAACAGACTAGTGCACTGCAGTGGAGTTTCTATTACATGTTAAATTTGTCATTGCACATACTGTTTCTTGTTTAAATATATGAAAGGTTCAGAGGCATTAAAAGTTTACTGAGCACCTCTCTGTGTTAGGCAGAGTACTATACACTAGAGATACAATCTAAACAAGACTCATGGTTCCTGTACACTCAGAACTTAATAACTTAAGTGATTAAATAAGCAATTATAATTTAATGTTAATTCCTTTTTTTTTTTTTTTTAAGACGGAGTTTCGCTCTTGTTACCCAGGCTGGAGTGCAATGGCGTGATCTCGGCTCACTGCAACCTCCACCTCCCGGGTTCAGGCAATTCTCCTGCCTCAACCTCCTGAGTAACTGAGATTACAGACACACGCCACCATGCCCAGCTAATTTTTTTGTACTTTTAAGTAGAGACGGGGTTTCACCATTTTGACCAGGATGGTCTCGATCTCTTGACCTCGTGATCCACCCACCTCAGCCTCCCAAAGTGCTGGGATTACAGGCTTGAGCCACCGTGCCCGGCCAATTTTTTTGTTTTGTTTTGTTTTGTTTTGTTTTTTGAGATTGAGTCTCACTCTGTCGCCCAAACTGGAGTGCAGTGGCACAATCTAGGGTCACTGCAACCTCCACCTCCCAGGTTCAAGCAATTTTTCTGCCTCAGCCCCCCTAGTAGTTGGGACTACAGGTGTGTGCCACCACACCTGGCGAATTTTTTGTTTTTTTTTAGTAGAGATGGGATTTCACCATGTTGACCAGGCTGGTCTTGAATCCCTGACCTCAGATGATCTGCCTGCCTTGGCCTCCCAAAGTGCAGGGATTACAGGCGTGAGCCACCATGCCCAGACAATTTAATGTTAAATTTTACTAAAAAGGAAATCCTTAGGAAAGGTATCAAACTAAGACTAAGTAAGACTGAGGGAAGCCTTCCTAGAGATGACATCTAGTTTGAGACCTGAAGGTTGAGTACAAGTTAGCTGGAATGAGAGTTAGGGAAAGAGGACACTGGGCAAGAGAACAGCATGTGCAAAGGCTCAGAGAAAGAGGGGAAAGTACGCCCTGTGTGAGAAAGGTCAGATGGGGCAAAACTGGGGGATGGGAAGAGTGGAATGGTAAGAGAAGTAGGGGTCTGTTGTGAAGGGCTCTCTGTTCCACACTAGAGGCTGCCAGCCATATTCTGAGAATAGCATGCACCACTAAAGAGATGGGCTGTGATCAGATCTGAACTTTAGAAAAATCCCCTGACGGCAGCATGAATGGCAGCTTAGAGAGAGTGACAGATGACGACAGCCTGAACGAAAGAAGTGGATGGATTCTAGTTGAGTTGACTCATTTCGGTGATTGATTGATGGGCAAGGGAGTTGAGGCTGACTTCCCGGCTTCTGCATGGGTAATGAGTGGATAGTGGTTCCAAGCCTTGCTATGAGTTACAGGGAGAAGGTGATGGGAGTTCAGCCTTGGGAATGTTAACTTTGATGGCTGTTAGTCAACTGGGACAGTTAGATAGATAGATGAGTCTGGAGCTCAGGAAACAGATCTGGGCTGGAGACACATTTTTTATACATAATTGTCATATTTATGGACGTCATTTCTTCCTAAGGGCATGTAGCTCTTATTTTATAATGGAAACCATCTGAGATCATCTCCAGCATCCATCATACTTTGGCCACATACATTGGCTTCATTTTTTTGTGTGTGTCCAGATGCCCAACTAGATTGCAAACTCCCAAAGGCATGGCCCTTCCTCCATCAGACTCCTTGCTTCCAGCAAGGGAGCCAGCACCTCTCTCAACCCCCATCTGGGTCCGGCATAGATGGGGTCCTGACCTAAGTCCACCTCTGCCCAAGGCTGGGCCTCTTTAGGGTTATAGACTGCATCTGGGTCTTCTCCATGTCCCCACTCCCCAGGAAGACTCACACATGCGCACCTGCCTCAGGGGAGGTCTGAGTCACAACCTCTTCTCCCATACCTCTGCAGCCCAAACCTCAGAATGCAGTCACCATCGCTGTGTCCTCCAGAGCTTTATTTCGCATGGACGAGGAGCAGCGGATCTACACGGAGCAGGGCGTGGAGGAATATGTGCGCTACCAGCTGGAACATGAGAACGAGCCCTTCAGCCCCGGGCCGGCCTTCCCTTTTGTGAAGGTGAGGGGGCAGTTCCACCACTAGCTCCTACAGTGCTTTTGTGGGGATTAAAGAAAGGCACTCCTATGGGTATTTGAGTCAGGAAAAGGGCCCCTCCGGGCAGATGTAACCACATAGGTGCACAGCTTGGCTAGGTGACAGAGCCTTTGTGGAAGAAGAGGCCGCCCCACTCTCTGGACAAATGCAGCACCATGCCTGGTAACCAGCTTGCTGAGATTTCAGCTCAGGCTTTCTCCTTTAGCGAGGTGCCTCTGAGCGGTAAACAACTTGCAATAAGAGAAGGTGCACGGATCTCATCCCAAGCCTGGCTCCTTCCCTCCCCCCACTGGATCCTTGGCCACCAGCTTCAGATATCAATCCTTGGAGGTCTAAGCTGGAGGGTGCCCTCTCCCTTCCAGGCTCTGGAGGCCGTGAACAGGCGGCTGCGGGAGCTGTACCCCGATAGTGAGGATGTCTTCGACATCGTCCTCATGACCAACAACCACGCTCAAGTTGGTGTCCGCCTCATCAACAGTATCAACCACTATGGTGAGCATGAGCATGAGGATGGGGGTTTCCCCTGGGACACCCCTACCACACACCCACCAGGGATGGGGCCACACCTCTGCAGGATGGAGTTGTACTGGCCAGAACCCCAAGCCCAGTGTGTTCTTGTAAATTGGCTCTTTAAACAAACAAGCAAAACCCTGATTCGTAGTGTTGCTAGTTTTCGGGGTGTAAATATTTCCACCAGGACTGGTTTCAAGCTATCAGTGGTTGAACAACACAAATGGCTCACAAAATTTCTGAATGTTTAACTGTGGGCTCTTGCAAACTGGTACAAGCCAGTTCCAGCATATCCTACTCCCAGTGTGATTAGCTGGGGCACTTACTGCCTCCCTGCCTCAGTTTCTCAAGCTGTGATGGGGCTAACAGGCCTCACAAGGCTGCTGGGAGAATCCAGTGCAGCTGTCAGAGTGAAAGGGCTTTGTGTCTTAGTCTGAACCCAAGGTTAAAAATAATAGACCCTCCGGCCGCGGGCGATGGCTCACACCTGTAATCCCAGCACTTTGGGAGGCTGAGGTGGGAGGATCACAAGGTCAAGACATCGAGACCATCTTAGCCAACATGATGAAACCCCGTCTCTACTAAAAATACAAAAATTAGCTGGGCATGATGGTGTGTGCCTGTAATCCCAGCTACTCAGGAGGCTGAGGCAGGCAGAGGTTGCAGTGAGTTGAGATCGTGCCACTGCACTACAGCCTGGAGACAGAGCAAGAATCTGTCTCAAATAGTAATAATTATAATCCATCCAGAGCTAGCTTGAGCCCAGGAGAATAATTTCTTACTAGGTTACAGGTGTGTCTTTCAGAGGGCAGGACATAAAATTGGGCCGACAAAGGCCTGAATCCAAGTACTAGAAATCTCTCCCGGGTTCTTCTCTCTTCAGGCCACATGAACCTTTATTTGCGCTTCTCTAGCAAGTTTGCTTCCCCCTCCCCACAACACCGAAATTGGATTTATCTGCTTTTCTTGAATAAAAACCAAATTCAAGAAAAGCGGGCCAGGTACGGTGGCTCACTCCTATAATCCCAGCACTTTGGGAAGCCGAGGTAGGTGGAACACTTGAGGTGAGGAGTTCGAGATCAGCCTGGCCAATGTGGTAAAACCCTGTCTCTACTAAAAATACAAAAATTAGCTGGGCATGGTGGTACATGCCTGTAATCCCAGCTACTCAGGAGGCTGAGGCACGAGAATCACTTGAACCTGGGAGGCGGAAGTTGCAGTGAGCCGAGATCACCCCACTGCACTCTGGCCTGATGACACAGAGAGACTCCATCTCAAACAAAACAAAACAAAGCAAAGCAAAACAACAACAACAAAAAAGAAAAGAAAAGGAGAGAAATCCACACTTTGGGGGGGGGGGGAGAGAGAGAGAGAGAGAGAGAGAGAGAGAGAGAGAGAGAGAGAAATAATAAACCTATATCTGTAGGTTTACAAGGCCTGAGTTTTAGCAACCAAGAGAGTCTAGTTGGCATTTTAAAATCCTAATTTCAAATTGCTGGGAGCAGGGATGATATTAAAAATATTTAACCGGCCGGGCGCGGTGGCTCAAGCCTGTAATCCCAGCACTTTGGGAGGCCGAGGCAGGTGGATCACGAGGTCAAGAGATCAAGACCATCCTGGTCAACATGGGGAAACCCCGTCTCTACTAAAAATACAAAAAATTACCTGGGCATGGTGGCACGTGCCTGTAATCCCAGCTACTCAGGAGGCTGAGGCAGGAGAATTGCTTGAACCCAGGAGGCGGAGGTTGCGGTGAGCCGAGATCGCGCCATTGCACTCCAGCCTGGGTAACAAGAGTGAAACTCCGTCTAATATATATATATATATATATATATATATATATATATATATATATATATATTTAACCACCTGTGTGACATATGCACTGCATAATCAGGACAGACTCCCCCTATAGTGCTGAAGCAGGGCCCTGAAGGACCCCTGCCATACCAGGCATTATCACCTTCTGTTGTGGACTCTGGGGAGGACAGAGGTCCTGATTAAGGGGGTGGGAGAGTGACAGGTAACTTAATGGGCTCAGAGCAGCAGCGGTTTATCAACCAACAAATACTTTACAATCTTTGCAGTCATGGGGACCAGTGGACTGGCAGCCTAGGTAATCAGATTGGCCCAGTTTGGGTCAGGTGTCTGCTCTTATCCAATCAGCTATGGTCAGGAGGTGGGTGTCACACAGCCATGTAGCACTGTGATTCCTGGACAAGAGGATGTCCCTGTGAGCTGGACGATTGCTCTAGAGAGGTGATCGTCTGCATTTCATGGATGAAGGATGTAGGGGCTCAGAGGGGAACACCAGCCTAAAATCACACAGAGACACGCTGTGCTGCCGTACCATACCCAGAACTAAGATGGCACCCACTGGGCACAAAGAGATTGCCCTGAAGTCCAGGGTTGACCCTGGCCTCACCTGAGTCCTCTACCTCCTTTCCAGACCTGTTCATCGAGAGGTTCTGCATGACGGGTGGAAACAGCCCCATCTGCTACCTCAAGGCCTATCACACCAATCTCTACTTGTCAGCCGACGCGGAAAAAGTGCGAGAAGCCATCGATGAGGGTAAGTCTAAGAGAGGAGGCAGAATATGGGGAGTGCAGCAAAGGGGTCCCCGAGGTGGGAGGCCTGGTCCTAAAGTTCCTAGCAGGTGCTGGGAGTTGCCATGGTAACCAGAAGGCAAAACTGCACAATACTTTCCTTAATTCTTATTATCTGTCCTATAAATTCTGCAAACAAGACCCTACCTGTTCCATCTTCCCACCTCTGGCCCTACTGTGTCAAGGATGCTTTTACTTCTCAGCTTCACCCAGCCTTCTGTTTCCATGGAAACCCTCTACACAGTCCAGAAAGCTACTTTCTTCTCTGATTCCTCCAAGTCAGAAGGAGTTCTGATTCCTGTAGGACCATAGGCAGCCTCTGCCCTGCCCTGGGCCAGTGGGGAGGAGGATTTGTATCTAGCCCAGCCTGAGTGGTGGGGTCTGGGAAATGGCCAGCATCTCCAGCAGCTAGGCTAGCCAGTGCTTAGTGGAGTTTAGGAGACCCAGATGGAAGTACTGACAAAGACAATGCTCCTTTATGTGTGTCTTTTGAGGGGCAGTTTTGGGTGGTATCTGTAGTTTCAGTCCTCCCAACAAGGTGCATATACTATTGCGTGTGGAAGAAAACAGGTGTATGGGGGAGCAAGGACTGAGAGGGCTTCTTAGGCTGAACACTAGTGACAAGTTTTTGTTTTTGTTTTTAATCAACCAGCAGTATATTCACTTTTCTCTTCCTCTTTCATGTTGTCTCCTGCCTGGAAGCCTGGCCTCTCTTCCCTGATAACTCACTCCCCTGAGCCACTTGGGAGCTCCTAGAGGCATTCTTTCACCAGGAACCAGAAGCTATTTCCCTGGACAGATGTCACACCCTCTGGTTGGGGCCTTGGCACTGGCATGTCGGTGTGCCTCTGTGTGTTTGTAACTTGACCTCAGGCTAGGGAGCAGGAGAGTGGTCCACGGGGAAGCCCTGCTGAGGGTAGGGGTGGTTCTGGGTCATCTTGGTTCCAGTGCTGGCAGAGCTGAGAAGGTGCCTGGCTTGATGCCTGGCACTGGGCCCGCTTGCAGCATCCTCAGGCTAGTGAAGTTGTGAGAGGGTAGCACTGCTCACTGCTCCCAAACGCCTAAGCCCAGCCTCTGTGATCCTCAGTTCTCAAAGAGTTGGGCTGAAGTGGTCTTTGCAGAGATGGGGACTAGGGAATGGGCTCAGCCAGCTGCCCAGATCTCCAGCCTCCCAGCACTGGCTCTCTGCCATCTAGTGCAGCTCTAGCCTGGAGCCGGAACCCCTGAGAGACATCCCTGGACCCCTGGAGGAGCCCAGGATTGCAGACAGTCTGTGTACACAACTAGCCATCACCTGTGCTGTCTCCCAGGGCCACCTAGGTTGTTTTTCGGAACCCTAAACAGCCACGAGTAGGTCATACCTGGGTGCCATTGTGACTGTAGATTGAGGGTGCCCATACTCGCCTCACCCGATTGCAGCCTGTGGTCTCAGCCCCAGAGCTATGAAGCTGTTCATTTTACAGTGGTCCAGAGAAGGTGAGTGCCTTGCTAGGACCAACGGTGAGGGGGTGACAGAGGCCAAGCCAGAGTTGGGGCTCCTTCCCAGCCCCACTGTAGGTATCCATCAGGGCTGTGAGGCGCCTCTGGCAGGAAGACAGTGGCCTGTGGCACTGCTGTTTGTCTGGTCCACAGCAGCATGATCTTACTAGGTGTTAAAGTGTTGAAATTCCTTCATACGTGTTGGTAAATTGTTCCTGCCCTGAGTCCTGAGTGCCCTTCTGCCCCCTGGGACTCCTCCCAGACTTCTCCACAAAGCAATAACCAAAAGGGTAACCTGGCAAGGCAAGGGTCCTCAAGACCTGCTTTGGAACCGCTGCTGCTGCCCTCTTCCTGGCCAGGATCCATGCACTACTGGTTTTTAAATGTTTTAAATATTAGTTTTCATCAGCCTCGCCCTGAGTCCTTTGTGAGGCAGGTGGGGCAAGGATAGCCTAAGATAGCCCTCTCTGGCCCTACTGCCCAGCCTGAAGGCAGACAATGCTTGCCTCTCTGCCCAGGGATCGCAGCTGCCACCATCTTCAGCCCCAGCAGGGATGTGGCTGTGTCCCAGAGTCAACTGCGCGTGGCCTTCGACGGGGACGCTGTGCTCTTCTCGGATGAGTCGGAGCGCATCGTCAAGGCCCACGGTCTGGACCGATTCTTCGAGCATGAGAAGGCCCACGAGAACAAACCTCTGGCTCAGGTGCTCCACGTAGACCCAGAACCCTGGAGTGGAACAAGGCAGCTCCCCAGACCTGCCCTTGGCCTATACTCCCAGCCCAGAACCAAACGAACCCCAGGCTCAGCCCAGATTCCAGCCAATCCCCTTGCCCTCTCACTTGACCACTGCCCCCCAATCAATAAGCTTCCATCTACTTTGATGAGCTTCCATCCCCTCACTGAATCCCATCCCCCCTTTGAAGCCTCTGTTCTCCCTCTGAGCCTCTCTCTAAGCCCATGCCCACTCTCTGAAGCTCAAATCTCCATTTCTGAGGTCTCTTTCCCTCCCTGAAGTCCCCATTCTCTAAGTCCCCACCCCTTCTCTGAAGTCCCTGTCTGCTCTAAAGGCCTCGTCCTGTCTCTCTGAAGCTGCCATTCTCTCTCTGAAACCCTCACCTCTTCCAAAGATTCCCCCACCCCCCTGAGAGAGCGCCCACCCTCTTAGGAAGCCTCTGTTTCCCTCACTGGAAACAGGAGGAAAGGAATTGCTAAACTGGGCGCCTCACTGGGCAGGGAGATCCAGCTGAGTGTGGCGTGTGGGGCTCTGGGACACCTCCTGCCATCCATCCCTTGGCTGGGGCACGGGGACCCTCACTCACCCTCAAACTGCACAGCGTCTCTAACAACAGTCTGTGCCCTAGAGTTTGATAAGAATTCCCTGGAGTTGAGGCTTTTGGGAGTCTCCAGCTCTGCTGGGAGCTGCTATTTGAGCTTTTAACAAAAATCTGGGTGCTCAGTAATCTCAGGGTCCCTCTTTCCAAGAGCTCAGCAGGCTTCAGCTGTGGCTCCTAAATATTCAGTTCACTTCTGTTCTTCTGAGTTGGCTCTGGAATCCTTGGGAATCCACGGCAGAAGAGTTTTCCTAATAAGTGATAGGCAGAGGCCCAGGAGACCACTCCTTATTCCAGGTCACCTACCAAGTAAGAGGTCTCCAAGACCAGGAGCCCACTTTTGTTTATTTCTAGCTGCTTTGGAAATAAGCATTTCTCTTCATCATCATCTGTTTTTTGTTTTATTTTATTTTATTTTATTTTATTCTCACATCGTCAGGAAGCTTCATTGTTCTGGGTACTGTAGAGAATAAATTCCTTCCCTGACCCTAGAGAGCTCAAGCATGACACCCTGAGCCACCTGGGTGCCAGATGGACATGGCTGATGCTCAACAGTTACACATTGGTCCACCTTCATCAGCTGTTTACAGCTGGAGTCCATTCTGATTGGAGGGTGCCCATGCCATAGTTACTAAATTTTTCTTTTTTTTGAGACAGAGTCTTGCTCTGTTGCCCAGGCTGGACTGCAGTAGCGCAATCTCAGCTCATTGCAACCTCCACCTCCCAGGTTCAAGCAATTCTTCTACCTTAGCGTCTGGAGTAGCTGGGACTACAGGCACACACCACCACACCTGGCTAATTTTTGTATTTTTAGTAGAGATGGGGTTTCACCATATTGGCCAGGCTGGTCTGGAACTCCTGACTTCCTGATCCACCCACCTCGGCCTCCCAAAGTGCTGGGATTACAGGCATGAGCCACTGCGCCCAGCCCCACTTAATATTTTTAATATCCTCCCTGTTGACGGGCACCAAAGGCCAGACTTACAGAGCTTCAGGACAGACATCTGTATACTTTGATGGGCATATGGATGGATGATACATATTAACAGTTGCCCTGATAGTTATTCTGACCCAGCCCCAATATACAACAACACAGATCCCCTGACTAGAGCCCCACTGGTGCACACAGTAGCTTAAGCAGGCACAGCAGAACTAACTGAAAGATTTAAGGATCCCAAGCTTTTCTACACCAAGCAAGACACTAGCGCTTTAGGGAGAGCTGGGAGCAAATGTTTGGGAGGCGGCAGAGCTCACCATGTTCCACTTGCCTTCTCATAGGGCCCCTTAAAGGGCTTTCTGGAGGCACTGGGTAGGTTGCAGAAGAAGTTCTACTCCAAAGGCCTGCGGCTGGAGTGCCCAATTCGTACCTACTTGGTGACAGCACGCAGTGCAGCCAGTTCTGGGGCCCGGGCACTCAAGACCCTGCGCAGCTGGGGCCTGGAGACAGATGAAGCCTTGTTCCTCGCTGGAGCGCCCAAGGGTCCCCTCCTCGAGAAGATCCGCCCACACATCTTCTTTGATGACCAGATGTTCCACGTGGCTGGGGCTCAGGAGATGGGCACCGTGGCTGCCCATGTGCCTTATGGCGTGGCACAGACACCCCGGCGGACTGCACCTGCAAAGCAGGCCCCATCTGCACAGTAGCTGAACCCCAGCTCTACTGACCCACATTGCTGCAGGCTCCCTGTCATACTTCGACACCTCATCTGGTAGATCCCTCTAGTTTCTCACTGTTCTGCCCTTCTGACTGTCTGCCCTCATCCCTATGAGTGATGTACTTGTAGGAAATTATGCAGACAGGCCTGGCATTCTCAACATCCCTCCTCTGGGGCAAATTCTGTGCCCTGATCCTGAGTAGGACAGTAAGACTGTGCGGAGTAGCTGGATTTCAGGGGGAAGTTAACGGGTCAGAGAGAGGGAGGGTCAGAGAAGCCAGGATTTCTCAAAAGGGGCTTGGGATGAAAACTAGCTCAATGTAGTGTAATGAACACTGCTTTGAGAGAGAGTGGATCTGGCTTCTAAGCTCTGTCCTGCCATTAACTGCATGACTTTGAGTGAGTCCCTCCCCTTCATGGGCCCCAGTTTCCCCATCTTATAGGTGGTTTTCAAGCTCCCTTTTAGCCAAAGAAGGTTGGTTCTCTAAGATCACCCTCTTAGGCTAGGCACGGTGGCTCACGCCCGTAATCCCAGTACTTTGGGAGGCCAAGGAGGACACATCACCTGAGGTCGGGAGTTTGAGACCAGCCTGACCAACGTGGAGAAACCCCGTCTCTACTAAAAATACAAAATTAGCTAGGCGTGGTGGCGCATGCCTGCAGTCCCAGCTACTCAGGAGGCTGAGGCAGGAGAACTGCTTGAACCCAGGAGGCGGAGCCTGTGGTGAGCCAAGATCACGCCATTGCACTCCAGCCTAGGCAACTAGACCTAAATTCCATCTCGAAAAAAAAAAAAAAAACAACAACAACAAAAAAACACCCTCTTAGACGGTATGGTACTTTTGTGCAGATTACAGAAGGATACTGTCTAGGTGAATGAAAAACAAAAAGACAGCCCTTCCTCTGGCCTGGCCTGACCCAGACCCATGCTGGGATACATAGCAGGATAGAGGCTGGATTTCAGCCCCCATGTGCCCTTCAGTTCAGAGACCTTTGTCAAATGGACAAAATGCACCATTGCCCCCAGCAACCCTATCTATAATTTTACACAGTTTGAAACCACTAGACAAGATGACCTATCTGCTCCTGTGATTCTCTAGCCTGAATGATCATCAGGGCTCAGCCGGGGAAGCAAGGTTCGTGAATTTAACCTGCATACAAACTCTCCTCCAGCCAGCAGGGGGCACTGCAGGCTCTTCCCGGGGAGGAGCTTTAGCAGCCACCTGCTCAGTGTTTCCTTTGCTCTTGCTTTGAGCCCAAGTTCAGTTGCTCCTGACTGCCAAGACCCTCACTTCCACCACCCTCACTCCCCCAGCTGTTGCATCCGGTTGAGCAGCTCTGCTGGTGGGATATGGGGCAGGGCATCAGTGTCCCCAGTTCTAGGGGAAGAAAGTGCAGTGGCTGAAGTAGGCGGTTGCCCAGGCTGAGCCCCAGGATGAGGTGCTGCCTGGGGTAAAGTGGGAAGTGTCAGGAAGTCTGGTGTGAGGCAAAAGGTACTGAGACAGTGACGCTCGGAGAAGAAGGAGCTGACATGTGCACTAACACAATTCTCCAGCTGTGGGATTGTGAGCAGAAGGCCAGTCAGAGCTTCCTTTGAGGTAATGAGCTCTCCATTACTGGATGCTGTGCAAGGACTTCCAGGATGAGGTGACCTCCCCATGAGATGCATCAGCGGATCCTCCACATTTGCAGGAGCCCCTGTGACCCCTTCTTCACCACTTCCAGAGGAGAAGTCTCACCACTTGATGAGTCAGCCTCCTCCTTTGCTGAGCGTCCCCGGCTCTCTCCGGAGGGAGGGTAGAAGCACCAATGGCTGGTCCCCAGGAAGACCGAAGGGGTGAGCAGATATTTGTGTGTGAACTGATTGCCAGGCTTCTGGGAGGAATTGTAGTCTTGGGCAAGCACTTTGTAAAGAAAACCGAAGGTATCTGCCGGGCGCGGTGGCTCAAGCCTGTAATCCCAGCACTTTGGGAGGCCGAGGCGGGTGGATCACGAGGTCGAGAGATCGAGACCATCCCGGTCAACATAGTGAAACCCCGTCTCTACTAAAAATACAAAAAATTAGCTGGGCATGGTGGCACGTGCCTGTAATCCCAGCTACTCAGGAGGCTGAGGCAGGAGAATTGCCTGAACCCAGGAGGCGGAGGCTGCGGTGAGCTGAGATCGCGCCATTGCACTCCAGCCTGGGTAACAAGAGCGAAACTCTGTCTCAAAAAAAAAAAAAAAAGAAAACCGAAGGTATCGTGAGAGGGGCAGGAGCCTGGAGGTGTGCTGGCAGGAAATGGGGGAGGAGAGCATTCTGGGGCTTGATCTTTGTCCTTCTGGGGACTCAGTTCAGGGTCTGAGTGAACACAGGTTCTGCGCAGTGCGGAGCAGGGTAAGAGATGCAGAAAGATATCCCAGGAAGGAGAAGAAAGTGAGAAGGCAGAGATGGTTCTCAAGGTGGGGCAATGAGTTGGGCCAGAAGAGAAGGGCTGGGCTGGCCTTTTGCTGTCATTGCCAGAGGTCTCCATGAGGCTGGTCCCAGGGAGGAAGGGCATGGCTGTGTGGAGTGACTGGGACAGACACCCACAGTGATTGCTTTATCAGGGGACACTGGCATTATTGCCCCTAGAAGGGCACATGATGATGTCTTCGCGCGAGGCCATTTCTGCTGCACAGCCAGGATCCTTCTGGCTATAACAGAGAAGGCCTTGGGGCAGAAGGCCTGGGTTATGTCTCTACTTCCTGAGCTCCAAGCCTGGACAGAGGTGCTATGAGAGCCAAGAACAACCTCAAGGCAACAAAAAGGAAGTGAAGGAGGGAGTTCAGCCCCTGAGTCACCTTCATTCTTGGCTGAACCGCAGAAAGGCCGTCTCCTTCTCACTCCCAGGGATCAGAATCACCCCCATGGAAGAGCCTCCAAGGCTCACAGAACTAGTGACTGCAAGAAGACTACAAGGCCAGGCACAGCCCAGGCTCACAGCATGGCAATAGGCTGCCTGACCAGGGCGGACCTGCACACTGGGGGCGGCACCAGATGTCACCTAATTAAGGTAAACTGCAGGGGTTCTGGGACCTGTGTGGTCTTGCCCCCAGGGCCTGGTGATGAACACCACTGATTATTCCGTGTCTCTCAGGAAGCAGGAAAATATGATGCTGGAAGCAGAAAGATAAGGTGCAGAAAAAGCCATGGATTTCACTGGAGCTATCATAAATAGACACAGACAGCCCTGGGCAACGGAGAGACACTAAGAGCCTAAATTCTATTACTGAAATCACAAATGAGCATCTTCTCAGGCCTGGAAAAAAGCTTTCAGTCGCTGGAATAAAAAGCCGGAAATCTGGGGGGCAGCCTTAGGCAGCAGTTACACGGGCCTTCTGATTGTCTTCGAGGTGAGGAGGTGCCCAGGAATGAGGAGCATTGAGTATTGTGTCACCAGGAAATTAAAAAGCCAGGGGAGCACCAAAATCCCAGGCCCAAGGAGGGAATGCAGCACTGAGGCGGAAGGGCCACGGCTTCTGAAACACTGGTCCCCTTTAGCTGAGAGCACCACTTCCCCAACAAGCTCTGCAGAACCCTGGTCTCAGGAGATGCCTGCCAGCAAAGTCCCAGAGCCAATGGGAGTGCTGCTTAGCAGAAACACAGAAGCCCTGTTACTAAGCACTGAGCTTGCTCAGCCAGTTGCAAAACATCCTCCTCTCTTATCTGAGAGCCCAATCAGAGTAGTGGGAATATATCAGAATATGCCAGAAAAAATAGAAACTAGCAAGAAGTTCAAAGCCAAGATGGAGTTGGCGTTATAATGGTACTCAATTGGTGTGCACCCGTACAGCCAAGCTGATGATTAACATCTTGAAATACCTCCGTACCAGTTGATAAATAATGCTGCACTGAGTCCCCTGAATGTCTCTTCGTGGCCTCAGCTGACCCCTCCACTGTGAACACTCCATTTTCCCACAGTGCGGCCTCTAGGAGGCTGCAGCAGCACTATGGCCAGTATCTGCTCTGTTTTGTGGTGTCCCGGTCACGCTGGTTTAGGGAGGTAAAGTAACTTGCCCAAAGTCGTAGAGCTAGTAAGTGGCAGTGCTGGGACTCAAACTCCTGTCCATCTGATGCTAGGTCTCAGATTTTCAACCACTTTGTCATACGGCTCATACATATGCATGGAGATAGCCAGAGAAGCTCCATTCTGCGGTCTTCACTACAGGAGTTCACTCACCTGACAGTTAACATGTTGATTTCCTGCATGGTGAAATGCTGGAATTCATTTCAGTGGGTGCTTTGATTATAGTTTCCTAAACAGCTAAAAATAATTTAAATTACAGCCAAACATTTGCAACCCTCTGGAAGCACTTCCAAACAATCCCAAGTTCGGAGGAAACCAGTGTGAAGACCCCTGTTTTGGGCTAACGTGGATTTGGCCAAACTCCAGGCCCGTGGGCCACATCTGACCCATCACCTTTTTTTGTAAAGAAACTCATGGGAACACAGCCATGCCCATTTGTTTATATAGGTTTATGGCTGATCTTGCACTGCAGCAACAGAGTTGAATTGTTACAACAGAGACTGGAAAGCCAAGAGTATTTGTTATCTAGCCCTTTACAGAAAAACGTGGGCTAAGGCAGACAGCCTAGCAAACGCCTCATTGGGATGAGCCAGGTCACATCCACCTCTGCATCTGTGGGCGGAGGTTGGCTCCACTCCCGAAGAGTGGGGCTCCAGGCCATCTGAAGATTCCAAGTTCTGACTATTTTCAAGCGACCCAGGGCTCATGGTACTTTGCAGTTTTGTTGATGCACTGATTTGGCTTGAGCATGCTCTCCTAAGCTGATAAGTGAGAGGGCAGGAGCAGGCCCCATGGCTGGGGATGAGCCCAGCTGGCTGTCGCCATGCTTCATATTCCCGACCCATTTCCTCGTGAGGCCTCTTAGGCAATGATGAGCCTGGTAGGTGGATGGGCATTAGCTAGATATGAGTTTTGGATAGACTGAAGTGCCCAGTGTTGACTTCAGCGGCTCCGAGCCACCAAGGTCATCCATGTACTTTCTGTGAAAGCAAGAACAAGTCCGTCGTGAGGAGGGTCCCATGAGGATTTTAGCCGGTTCAGAAGTTACTGATCAAGTGAGAGAGAAAACTCCTGTCACAGCTGGAATGGCAGTTGCTGATGGCATGAGGGCATGTGAGCAGTAAACACAAATACCCCTCATAATGGAATTGTGGATCAGGAGAATTCCAGGACCCTGCAAATTTGGAAATTTACCAGGCTTCCAGGATCCACTGCAAGAACCAAGAGTTTGGAAGACACCCCATCTACAGCCATCATTGCTGTCGCTATTCCAGCATGATATTCTTCTCCACCAAGCCCAG